GCACCCATATAATGAGCTTCTTCTTCTTGTAGGTTGTCTTGGTAAGAGTAGTGTCCATTTGGATGATCACCTCTACAAAAGTCACAACTCATTTGTTGGTTAGAAGTGGATTGGACAACATGTAATTGTTGAGGCATTTTTGCCATTTGCTTGGTCAATGCTTCAATATATTGAGTCAGAATTTTATTCTGAGCTAGGATAGCATCTGTGGTGCTAAGATAAAGCATTCCTTTCTTATGAACTGAATGTTTATCATGTTGGGTCTGCTGGTCTGTAGAGGCTAGTGCATCAATAATTCTTGTGGCATGTTTAGCATCCACAAACATCATGGTTCATCCTGCTGCAACATTTAAGAGCATCTTTGTATCAGGTCTCAGGCTAGTGCAGAAAATGTTCAACTGGGCAATGTCTTCAAATCCATGATTTGGGCACCTCCTTAACAGTGATTTAAATCTCTCTCATGCTTCACAAAAGGGTTCATTTGCTCCTTGTTTGAAAGTAGAAATGTCAGATTTTGCCTTGATGTAGTGGGATGGTGGAAAAAATCTATTCAGGAACTTATCTTCTACATTACTCCAGCTGGTTAAACTCTGATTAGGATATGCTTTTAACCACTTATTTGCCCTGCCAGCCAGTGAAAAAGGAAATAATCTCAAGTATGTAGATTCAATATCTCCTTCATTAAACCCCATGGTGCCATCAACTCATAAAAAGTGGACAAATAAATATAGGGATCTTCATGATCCATTCCAGTGAATTGATGAGCACTAATCAAGCTTAAGAAGGTTGGCTTCATCTCCAAAGATTGGTTGGTTGATATCGCAATGCTGGAGAAGTGTCTCAGACCTTGACCTTGTTGCATAGTATAGTCTCTCGGTGTTCTTTTAGGTGGGTTCGCTCTTTCACCCTCCATGTCTTCTATGATTGAGTCTGGAAAGATGAGTGTGGGAGAAGAGTTGACTGATTCTCCTGTTGCTTGTTCTTGAGTTTATCTTCTTCTTTTACCACGATTCCTCCAAGCGACCTTTTCAATCTCAGGATCAAATTCTAACTGATCTATAGATACCTGTCATCTTAAACATAAATCAAAGAGCAACTCAAGCAAGAATTAGCACAGGACAAACAATAAAAAAAAGCTAGACAAAGAATTTCCAAGGAACACCGTTCCTCAGCAACAATGCCAGAAATACTTGTTGGTCATTTGGCAAACGTACCAATATTATCAATCACAATACAGTATTTCAATTAAAATAAAATTCGATCCCACGAGGAACGATTTCACTGGAAATTTTGAATCATATGCTTACTAAGTGTATTGACACAAAATTGGTTTTTTCATAAACTTTTGGATTGAAAACAAACGGTAAAAAGCTATAAAATATATTTAGAAAGGATGAACTATGCGAACTTAGGGTTGACTTACTTCCTTTTCTCTCCTTTGTATAATGGCTAGGTCAAATTAATAACATCAATTAACCTATAAATGTTGATGTCACCTACTTAAATCATTCACATTGATTCCTCAAACATGAAGTTCATAAGAAAACCTTATAAACATAGATTCCTCATACATTTAAGAGATTTTCCAGCATTAGGTTTAGGGTGTTAAGCACTTAATACATCCATTACCATTCCTAGCAATCAATGTAGCAAATATTCTTAACCTAATCAAGGGTTTCAAGATATATTTTCTAATATATATGAACATCCAGGCTAAAAGCATTAAGAGGCACAAAAGATAAAAATAACAACATCAAGAACATAGATTAATATCTCAAAATATCACTAAGATACAAAAGAGTTCAAAGGAAGTGCATCCAATCCTAAGAGAATGAAGTTAGTCACTCATGATGGTCATTACAATGATCCAAATGAAGAAGAATTGAAGATTGGATGAAAACTCGAGCAGTTGTTACACCTCTCTTCTCAAAACCCCAACTCCCTTTCTCAAAACGCATCTTATCTTTTTATAGAAAAATTTCGCGTCATTTGCTTAAGCAGAACGTTCGCTCAAGCGAAAAATGATGATTTTTGCTCAATCAAGAATTGTTTGCTTGAGTTGTTGAATTCCCGAGAGCTTTAACGTATTTTTACTCAAGCAAATAAATGTTCACTCGAGCGAGTGACTTTCAGAGAGCTTTAACGTATTTTCTCTCAAGCGAGCGTCTGCCTCGCTCGGACGAATCTTAGGCTAAAAATCTTCTTCCTTTTTTTCAATTTTTCTTCAATTATCTTGAGAATTATAATCCTTGCTCTTGTACCAAGGTATTCTGCAAATTCATCCTACATTGGGAGACAAATAGATTAGAATCAACATAATTTAAGTGATTAAATAACAATTAAAAGCATAATTACATCAACTTTTGCCACTTAACAGTACTTGTTCCACCAAATTAAGGCATAATCTGAAAATTCAGTTGCTGCCAATTTCATCTTTTGCTCATTATACTCATTGCAAGCAAACACATATTCTAATTTTAGCTTCCACTCAAAGTAAGTTTCAGGATCACTTCTTCCTTTGAATGTTGGGATATTTAACTTGATTGCATCAATTCTAGGTTGTCTTTGTTCTCCCTCATTCTCCCCTTTTCTTCTCCTATCTCCTCTTTTATTTTCATGATTATCTTGTTGTGCTTGCTCCATTTGATCCAATCTGTCATGAAGTCCATCACTTTGTTGTTTCTTTAGTCTCTCCAAATGTTGAGTCAAGGCTTGCATTTGCATTTGTGAAATTCTAGTATTTGGTATTTCCCCTGCCATGCTTTAACAAACAAATTAGAAATAAAAATAAGTTTATCCTCACAACACTCTCTCACGTGTATACACTTCGCGCTCGTGTTTCTCTCAATACGACTCTTCTATCAATGATCACACTATCTTTTACCACTCATTCTCTACTTGAGGTTCTTACAAGAATCAATAATCTACCATCAATATTAACTCTTAAGATTTGTAATAAAAATAAGTTTGCTACCAAAAAACAAGTAAGACCATATGAATTTAAAGAAGACACTTGAAACAAGAATGTTAACAAATAATTGATGTGCACTAAATATAAAAATTGATAACTCTTTTTTTTTCAAACTTCTTTTTTTCTCCTTTTTTTTAATTCTTTCTCTCTCTTTTTTTCAACTTTTTTTTTGAATTGTACCTTGAACAGTGCAAAATAGCATGTGAACAGTGGAAAACAATGCGATAAAGTACCGTGAACAATAATAGTGACAAAAACAATGAAATGTGTATGTAACGAAACCTTGCTCTAAATACCAAATAATAAAATTCCAAATAGAATTGACGCAAAAAGATTTAAGGTTTGAAATCAATTAAGAACAGAAAATTAAGAATTAAGAATAAAATAGAGAAAACCTGAATAAAGGAAGACGTCACAAACAAAGTTTGATAAGCCTAAGGATAATCACCACAAAAATTGGTAAATTCATGATAAGATCGAAAATAAAAGGAAGAACCTTAGTAGAGACATATTCTCACTTTGGCAAAAATCAATTGTTCCTCTTTTCTCAATTCAACAATCACAAATACAAAAATTTAGGGTTTTCTTAGGCTTGACTTTGGTTATAATAAAAGGGAAAAGAAAACAAAAAAATTAAAACTAATAAAAAATTAAACTAATGGTCTAAGGTTCAAATCCCAATTCCACAAATAAAAAAACAAAATATTTAACTCTCCAAGCTTACTTACTACATATGTAACCAACTTAGACTATTCAGTGACTCGTGTCTTCGATCGTTGGGTCTCGCATAAAAGAGTCACCTTCTACTATAAAGTTTTTTAAACCTTTCTAATTTTTTCTCTAATCATTGGTCCAATTAAGTTTTCAATTAGATTTTCATCATTCTTCTCATAATCTTGGACTTTTATGTCTACGTGAAAATCTTATCTTATTTATATTCAAATTACTTTGATCTTATTTATATTTACACTTCTTTCACCTATATAAAATTGATAGAATATAAATCCACAAACATCTATATCAAGCATTTCCCGTATTAAAATCACAAATATTTTAACCCCAATTTGTAAAATGTACTAAAATTATGTCACATAGTTTTCTATATTTTATACCACAACTAATATACTACATTAAATATCACATTATTATTATTATTATTATTATTATTAATTTTATTTATTTATGGAGAGAAGCATGTTAGATTAGGCGCTTAATAACGTCACAGATGAAGAGAAGGAAATAGAAAGGATGAAGAAAAAATCATGTTATATTTTGATTTTTATTATTTTTTTGAAGAATTCAAAATATCCAATGTGAAAAATGAATTACTTTGGTGCCCCTGTTGGAAAATGTTTCTAATGAACAGATTTATCACTAATATAATATAGAATAAAATAAAACTCACAAAGAAATCAAAGAAAAAAAAACATTTATTAACAAGTTTCCAATGTTTAATTGCATTAACTCGTACCATTAGAAAAAGTTATAATAATAACAGCAAAATTGCATTCAATAATATACATAAAATGCTGAAAGTTTTTAATTTAAAAATATGTAATTAAATTAACATTACAAAGAAAGTAAACTCCAAGCAATGTTGTGATTTTTTTAGTTCCAACTTTCATCTGTTTAATATTAAGACTCAGAAAATGAATTCAATTTTTGTATTCATCCTCAAGTGCACCAGGACGCAAATTATTTTTACATGTTTGTTTAATTATTTTAAATTCTTCCATTGTCAACTTTCAAATTCAAAGCACACAATCATTATGCAAACTTGTTTAACTCTATATTCTATAAGCTTCTTGCATATAAGATTTTAGTGCATTCAGTCACAACATTTATTATAAAACAAAAACCAAGTTCATTATAGAGGATTGAACTGAAACAGTTGTGATGCAAATATACATTGTTATTTAACTTGGTCTAATAATAAATTGTATTAATTACGTCTCTAAGTATGAACATGAAGCTCACTCAGCACCCATTCCACATGTCCACAACACAAGTACATTACATGATGACCCTTTTAAACCTTCAAGTACTTGATGGCAGTTTGAACATCCTTATCACCTCTGCCACTAAAGTTAACCACAACCTTGGCTCCATTGGGAAGGGTTGGACACACTTTCTCAAGATATGCCAATGCATGAGATGTTTCCAACGCTGGAATTATGCCTTCAAGTCGTGAAACTCTCTTGAAAGCTACACATACAAAAAACCAGAGTTTAAGAGAGACACAGTGTAAATGATACAAGGGAAACATTGTTTTACATCAAACCACAAACGAAGTAAAAAAATTATATGCATCTTGTTAAGTGCTGTATGATGAAAAATTATGATCACGTTCTATGTTTTGTCTGATAGCAGAATTCATATCAGTAAAAATAGATGTATGTATGTTCGAGATAAGAGATCAGCAGTGAGATTACAAGAAGGACAGTAATTGTAAGTTTGTGACATTGATTGCTATTAACTGATACAGACATAAACAACTCCTAGAAATTTGAAACTCCAAGAATACGGTTCTAGTCCCTATAAAAAATTATTCATTTAGTTCCTACAATTAACATTATGACTTGGTTTTAGCTTCTCACTAGAGACCGAAAACAATGTAATGAAGAATTGCAACCACATTGTTTTGTTAGATGTAAGGACTAAAAACGAGCTCTTTTATAGGAAATTAGGAATTAAAACAAAAAATCATCATATTTTCAAAGACCACAGACATTTAGATTTGAAGCTCTAGAACAATTGTAAGTAAACAAAGATAGAAATTAAGAATATATGACATTTAACAGAACAGGGGGACACCATTTTGCAGTATACATAATTTCTGAGTATAACTTATGCAGAATAAGTGCCAAAGGAAACATAACATCAGATCAAGATTAACGGAATGATATAGTAACATAAGTTTTGAACAAGTGATTAAGATGAGTTATTATACTGTAAGGCAATACAAAGAAGGGAGAGAAACAAATCATAACTGAAATTCAAAATCCATGCAATTTCTACTTTATACTAAATTTTTATGTAAGTTTGCATTCATGTGTTGTATAAAATAGCAAGCTCAAGGTAATCCTACCCTACCTTCCAATGCTTCTTCGTCAGTAATGCTATGATATTCAGCACGTCCTAAATCTTTCAAAAAGCTATGTTCCGGACCCACACCAGGATAGTCCAACCTGCACATAATTTTTGTTGTTGTCGAAAACATAATTACATAATCAGAACCAGCAGAATTGCAAAAAACACAAAACAACTGATATAACAAATTATCAGTCAGATGAATTACCCTGCACTAATAGAGTGAGGTTCAACTATTTGTCCATCATCATCCTGCAACAGATAGCTCATAGCTCCATGCAGAACCCCAACTTCTCCCTTTGTTAAAGTTGCAGCATGCTTGCCACTTTCTAGGCCAAATCCAGCAGCCTCTACACCAATTAACCTAACATCTTCATCATCAACAAATTCATGAAAAAGTCCCATGGCATTTGAACCCCCACCAATACATGCAATCAGAACATCTGGTTTCCCTCCCCATTTTTCCAAAGCTTGCTTTCTGGTCTCCTTGCCAATCACAGCATGAAACTCTCTGACCATCATTGGATATGGATGCGGCCCGGCAACAGAACCCAAAATATAATGAGTTGTCTCTACATTAGTCACCCAGTCCCTTATAGCCTCTGACGTAGCATCCTTGAGTGTAGCAGTCCCAGAATGAACTGCTCTCACCTATATTACAAGAATGTTCTATTAGATAGACCAATGTATAAGAAAAAAGAAACAAACAACAGATTAAAAGACATTTATATTAAAAAAAACACTACAATCCACAGTAAGATAATATTTGCTTTAATTTAAAGTTTTATTTGCGAAGATAATCTCAAGAAGCTCAGCAGATGCTGTTAAGAGGATTAACAAATGATGACATCTATCACAACAATAACTAATGATATACCTCAGCACCAAGTAGACGCATTCTGAAAACATTGAGAGCCTGTCTTTCCATATCCTGTGCACCCATATAAATAATGCATTCTAAGCCAAATCGAGCACATACAGTAGCAGTGGCAACTCCATGCTGACCAGCTCCAGTTTCAGCAATAATGCGCTTTTTGCCCAAACTCTTTGCAAGCAAAGCTTGGGCAACAGCATTGTTAATTTTGTGAGCCCCAGTATGATTGAGATCTTCCCTCTTCAGATAAATATGAGGCCCTTCACCATTAGGTCTCCTGTAATGCTCTGTCAACCTTTCAGCAAAATAAAGAGGACTCTCTCGACCAACATAATCTTTCAGAATCCCAGCCAGCTCTGTCTGCAAGTTAAAACATCTATCTCAGAAAATTTACATTATTTATCCTTCCAAGAAACTACATTTCATGGCCTCTGAATGTTCTTAACATACAAAAGAATGAGAGACAGGCTAGCATGTAAGAGAAAGACAGAAAGTTATGTTCAGTATAATTGAGTGAAGATTAATAAGGAGTTCCAAATTGTTTACGCCTCTTATTTCCGTATGAAATTGAAATGGTAAGACCAAAAAATGTGCTAAAGAATAAAATGACACATTCAAAAATTCACAAAAATGTATATTTTACAAAACAGTATAAAGGAAAGGAAATAAAACATCAGGGATAATACTTCGAAATAACAATGTTGATTGTAAGTAACCCATGGTCGTTCTACAGCAAAAACTCCAGGTTTTAAATTGCTGTCATGTTTTAGTGGCTATCCCTGAATAAATACGGCTGATACGGTCACAAATGCGATCTCAAAGATCCCAAAAACCTTTCGTTGCAATCGCAATTGCAGTTGCATATTATTTTTTGAAACCTTGCACAAACTAAACCTCAGTTCAGTTTCTGGGTATGGCCCACCTCCATCATGCCATGGATAGAGGATTCAATTCAACTAACAAAACAACATTCCCAAACACCCAAAGCTTTCAAAAAACCAAAAAAAAATCAAAACAGATACAATCACCATCACTGCCACATTTCAACAACCAATTTCTGTGCCACACCAACAAGCATTATGCAAAAAGATTAAAACCAACCCTGATCACAATAAGAAACCACATTCAAAGGGATACCCATTTCCACCAAAACCCAATGAGACCACTACACAGACCTCAAAATCCAAAGAAAAAACCAAATAAACACCATTCCCCCATTCAAATAACACTACACAAAAACCAAAAAGCCTGAGCCTGAGTCACAAAACCTGAAACTGCTCATCAGCAGTGAGGGAATGAAAGGCAGCCTCAAGCTCAGTGAGGGCATGCATGAGAGTCTCAGGGACATACTTCCCCCCAAACTTGCCAAACCTCCCGAAGGAATCGGGTCTCTGGAGCACAACCGACCCATTACCCAAATTGTCGTGTTCCTGCAATGGCACAACAGAGGAAGGGTCCCTAGTGGCAGAGCAGGACACAAAAGGGGTTCTGAAAGGTGCAAACTTTAGCATGTTTGAGGGGAAATGGGAAGATGGGTATGGCTGACTGGGAATGGGAATCACCCGGGAGGAGTTGAGGCCTGTGAATGGGATTGAAGCAGCCATTTTGAAGTGATTTTGAAGAGTTTTTTCCTTTATTCTGAAAGAAATTGATTTGGGGAACTTGATTGGTTGCGGTTTAATTTATAGGTGGAATATTGTTGTGGAGGTACGGAGATTTTGTTTGCTTCTTTGGTGTTCTTGTCTGTATGTATGCAGTGACAGAATTCAAAGGTAAGATTAAGTGAAAGCAGAAAGGGATCACATTTCACACGCTCAATGGTTTTGGGCTAATATTAGATAATTTGTTTAGTAATTTATTTATTAATTTCTTTTCTTAGCCAATTATACCCTGGTTTTGGTGAAACCAAAAATGGAAAATATTTGGAAGGAGGGTACTTTGATTCGGTGGAAAATGAAACTAAATCGAATATTGAAAATGAAAAGTCTAAGCTATTTGAAAAGAAAAGGGAAGAAATTATTAACTTTATTTATTATTTTTTAATTCACATGACCTTGTAATTAAGGATAATAAGAAACATTCCACTATGAAATTTTCAGTGTACACATGAATTCACGTATGATTTGATACATGCATATATTTTAAGATGATAAATTCGATGTTATATCCTTCTCTCTATTTATATGATGATTTATATAACATAAATTTTGTATTTATTCTTTCTATTATATTTTTATTTATTTATTTTCTTTATAAAAATTACGAAAATACATTTATGTAATGTCTGAAAACTGTTTTTAATGTATTTAGGATATAGATTTAGTCAGAGATCCAATGGATTAGGTGTTTTTATGGAAAATTTAACAATTCTTTATTTAACCTTTCAAGTTTTTAGATTTTAAAAGTATTTTTTTTATTAAATTTATGATTCAAAATATTATTTAAGTTTGAAAATATTTTTGAACAATTAATGTAAGAAACCAGAAATATTTTGTCTTTAATTTATATAAAAAAAGTAAATAACATTATTCTTTGTAATCATTATCCAATCCATTTTATTAAAAATGATTGATGGATTAGTAAATAAGTCTATCATTTTCTTTTAAATATATATATATATATATATATATATATATATATTTTAAATACATATTTAATTATATAAATAAATTTTAAATTTTTATTTATTAACTAATATTTTTATTAGATAAATTAAAAATTTATAATATTTATATGTTAAATACCTAATTATAATTAATAATTTACATTTTATTGATTAATATTTATAATTTAAATTATATATTATAATATATTTAGATATTTTAATAATATAAAGTATAATAATTTTTAATTATAATTTTTATTATTTTAACTTTAATATATAAATATTTTTTTAAAACAAATTAAGATATTAATCTATTCGATCTTATCTTAATCGATTAGCAAAACGGATCCAACTATCAATATAAAATTGCCAACGAATCCCATAAATTTTGAAGCGAGCTAAAAGGTTGGTCCATCATACCTAACTATTTATCATCCTGAAATGACATAATTTTTTATGTTTTTAAAATATAAATTCTTTATTTACTTTCTCATTTTAGTTTATTCGTAAACAACTTAATAATTATTTATTAAATATTTAGAGTTTTTTTAATATTAAATAAGCATGAAAACTTTATAGTTTATGTCACAATTCTAAAAATCGCTATTATAATGATATTTTCGCAAAATAGTAAACAAGTAAATAACAACATCTATATTACATTATATTATTGTAATTGTAATATAGATCGAAATTTTGGTTCATTGGTCGAACCTCAAAATATAGTAACATAATTTATTTATATATTATACATGGAAAAGTAGCTCCCACAAAGCTACCCCACTGAACTATCCCTACTGTCCAGTAGTCGCATCTTCACCTCTCAACTCCTTATTTGTTCCCACATAAAAGTGATTATCGCAGTCTCATCCACATGGACAAATAGGGGTAAGTATTAAATCATTCGATATAATAAAACATGTATAGAAGTAATAATTACATATTATCATCAATTACAAATCATCAATACACTAAGACGTCTTCCGGAAGTATACCCTAACTATGCCCGAACTCAGAGACTATCATCTGTGGGCACATTGTGTTCGGCACCCGTAGTACCATTCTGACCACCCTCCACACAGAGTAGGATTACTGGTGCCCTTCATCACTCATATTGGAGTACCCCTCCGAGCGCGTCACCAGTCATCCCCCCATTGACTTCTCACCACCTGATCTTGTAATCTACCTGACCCGACCAATCAGTGAAGTTTGGGACCTCATTCAGAATCCTCCGACATAGTTATTACACTAATGTACTTTGTACCACCCTGGGTACCATTCAAACACAACAAAAATCATTCACATTTGCCGAATTTTGGACCACTTGTCCTCACGACTCATTCAAGTCAATAAATAATAGTACTTGACTGATTCTGGGCACCAACCCTCCGACTCAGTCTAGCCAATAAATAACATCTCATGACTGATTATGGGCATCAGCCCTTAAACTCAGTCTGACCCACACACGTCATAACACACTACTGAATTTTTAAAACTACTACCTTCATTCTATATTTTAAATATATATATATATATATATATATATATATATATCTTTTTTTTTCGAAATCATTTCTGAAATCTTTTTTGAAATCATTAAATTACTATTTTTCCCTTAATCTTTTCTGAAAATTCCATGTATGTCCCTAAATGACTATTTTACCCTTGGACATTTTTGAAAATTCCTTTCATGTCCCAAAAATGACTATTTTGCCCTTGAACATTTCAAAAATTCCTTCCATGTCCCGAAAATGACTATTTTACCCTTGAACATTTTCAAAAATTCCTTCAATGTCCCAAAAATGACTATTTTACCCTTGAACATTTTCAAATATTCCTTCCATGTCCCTTTCTTCTTCCTCGCGCCAGATAATGATATCAAAATTTGCATATTTAAGCAGATTTCAAATTACTCAGTTTTAGACAACCAAACTAGTTCCAAATTCAAATTAAACATGAATTATATCTAATTTAAGTTGAAAACAACAATTTTACCATATAATTCATCCTTAATTTTAAGAATTTCAAAAACTTTCAAACGATGAACAGTTTATCAGAATCAGAAATTCTTCAAAATCAGACATTCAAATAATTCATATCTCTACTCATATTCCTTATTCACAGAGTACCCAACAATTCAATTTCGTATATTGAATGAATTAAACTTTCCCTTACCTGATGTGGTATTTCTACCGAAGTGTTCCCACTTAATTCAAGCTCTCTCCTGTTTCACCAAATCCTGCACGAGTAGAGTCTCATTGCTTGAAATTTAGACAAAAGAAGAAGAAAGATGAGAAGGAGAACTACTTGTTGATGCCTCCTCCCCCCCTTTCTGTATGCGCATATATAAAAGAAGAATTTTACTGTGCATGAGGAAAACTTCGTTACGAAGTTTTCTTGCACAGTAATATTATTATAATATATAAAAAAATCATACGTCACAATCTCCCTTCCACCAAAAATTTTTGTCCTCGAAAATGAACTTACTTGGAAATAAATATGGATAGAACTCTCGCATTTGATCCTCCATCTCCCAAGTGAAGTCTCCGAATTTCTGATCCCATACTACCTTCACCATTGAGATGGTTCTACCTCTAAGTTGCTTCAGTTGAGAATCCTCTATCCTCACTGGTCTCACATCCACGGAGAGATCGTCTCTAATCTGCACATCATCTGACTCCAGGACATGACTGGGGTCATTTACATATTTCATCAACTGAGATACATGAAATACATGAAATACATTGTGCAAATTCGCCAAATGAGGTGACAACGCTAACTGATATGCTACTGGACCTACCTTCTTCAAAATCTGATATGGGTCAATAAACTTGGGAGTCAACTTCTTAGATTTAATTGCCCTTCCTACTCCAGTAGTAGGTATGATTCTCAAAAATACATGGTCTCCCCCCTCAAATTCCAAAGGCCTCCTCCTCTGGTCCGCATATGATTTTTGTTTACTCATAGCGGCTCTCAGCTTTTCTTATACCTCCCAGACCTTCTTTGTAGTCTGCTGGAGTAGCTCAGGTCCGATCAACACTTTCTCCTCATTCTGATACCAACATAAAGGTGTTTGACACCTCCTCCCATAAAGAGCCTCATATGGTGCCATTCTGATACTGGCATGATAACCGTTATTATACGTGAACTCTATTAATGGAAGGATATCATCCCAACTTCTTAGATTATCTAACACACAAGACCTCAACAAGTCTTCTAGTGACTGGATGGTCCTCTCTGACTGTCCATATGTCTGGGGGTGATAGGTTGAACTCAACCTAAGTCGGGTACCTAATGCCTCTTGTAAAGTCTGTCAGAATTTTGAAGTTAATCTAGGATCCCTATCTAAGATAATGCTAGATGGTACCCCGAACAATCTCGCGAATATATAGTTGTGCCAACTTAGCCATAGATATCCTCAGATTTACAGGAAGGAAATGTGCACTCTTCGTCAATCTATCCACTATCACCCAAATCGAATCGTGCCCCCGAATTGTCTGTGGTAAATGGGTAACAAAATCCATGGTAATGCTATCCCACTTCCACTCAGGTATCCCCATTTGTTGTAGCATTCCTCCCGGCCTATGGTGTTCCACCTTTGCTTTCTGACAAGTCAAACAAGCAGCCACATACTCTGCAATATCTCTCCTCATACCAGACCACCAATAAACCTTCTTCAGATCCTGATACATCTTAGTCATACTAGGGTGTAGACTCAGACGACTCCGATGACCTTCATCTAATATTGCTCTCTCCAATTCCTTGTCAACAGGAATACAAATCCTTCCTCTGAATCTCAGAATATTATCCTCACTTATCTTGTAGTCAATGGTCTGCTCGGATCCTAATTGATCCATAACACCTTTCAACGTCATATCACCCTGTTGTTTATCTCTGATCATCTCGAGAAAATCATTAGTAATGGTAATGCTACCACAATTAATGCTAGTATCACGAAACTCTACATCTAGATACAGATCCCTGAACTTCTCAAGTAAT